TGTATCGCTGAAGTCACTCGGAAAGAATTTTTAACCGGAAATGATCAAAACAAGCAGATATGTAACAATATGCACATTTATTTGATGGGTCCTGGGAGAAAACACCTAAAGAATAAAGAAGCTTATATCTTCAAAAAAAAACAACAAAAAACTATTCATCTATCTAATTTATATTTGAAAATATTTACCTATTAAATATGTTTTCTTTATTCAAACACTATACAGATTGTGGATAAGTTGCTTTTTATATTTTTATTTTAATCATTTTATAGCACACACTGCTTATGTAAAATATTTTTTGTTTATTAAATAATTCCCAATGCATAATGAAAATAAGAAGTAAATTCCCTTGAATAGACTCTTTGTTAAATTAATATAAAGGCCAAATCAAGGTCATCCAAATGGTATGTCTGGTTTACGTAAATTTTATAACTCACCTGTATTAAAGCAACATAATTTAAATTTAAAAATCAAACAAGTTTATGTATGACTCATATGGAAAACAATGTTTCTGGGGTAATATCATTGTTTTAGATTTTTGTATTACATTTTACCTCAGCATGGTGTCAGGTAACAAATGGTCCCCAATATGCCTAAACACCCTTTGTCAGCAGATTTTCGATGTTCCACATCTACTTTTGACTCACCCTGTATATCAATTTCCTTTGAACATTTTTTAAAACTGTTATTTATCACTTTTAATGCCAGATACTTAAAGCACTCCTGTGGATGATACAGGAATAACGAAAAAATAATCATATTTATAAAATGTAAAACAAGATTTATTAAGTTAAAGCCAGAAAGTGTAATTCAAGGAAATTTTTAAAAGTGCATAATAAAAAAAAAAAAGTCGACATTCAAAGAGCATTCAAAAACAGTGCCACAGTTGTACGTTATCTGTATCCTGAATTTGTAAATTTGTAAAAATGTGCACAGTATATAACAGAAAGCTCCTTATATTTGCAATGGCTTCTAAAGTAGTTGCAAGATATGCTTTAAAAAATTAGAAATTTGTATAAATCTGAAATTGTCATTTTTGCCCAATTTTCAGGTGATGAATAGCTTTAAACATAAGAACTAATGAGTGAAGCAATTGATAAGTATGCATGTGTTAGTTCCAACATGTATAATAGTAGCCATTTAAAAGTTTTTGTTTGAGAATTTCAGGGAAATTTCAAGATCAGTAAATATTACACTTAAATCCTGTTCCTGTTAACTTTTTGAACCATACATAACTTGTAAGACTCTGAAATGAAATGACATAAAAATGTTTACATGGCATACATAATGACATCGAAAGGCAAAAAACAACAACAAAAAAAACATTTGAAAGCTTTACAGAACTTGGAAATGGTTTACTCTTAATTTCAGATCACTGTATAAAGTTTTACTAGTTTCTGTGCCCTTCCATACAGATTTAGTTTCTTTTTCCATACAGATTCAGTTTATTTTTCCAAACAGATTCAGTTTCTTTTTCAATACAGATTCAGTTTCTTTTTCCAAACAGATTCAGTTTCTTTTTCAATACAGATTCAGTTTCTTTTTCCAAACAGATTTAGTTTCTTTTTCTATGTAGATTCAGTTTCTTTTTCAATACAGATTTAGTTTCTTTTTCTATGTAGATTCAGTTTCTTTTTTCCAAACAGATTTAGTTTCTTTTTCTATGTAGATTCAGTTTCTTTTTTTCAAACAGATTTAGTTTCTTTTTCAATACAGATTCAGTTTCTTTTCAATACAGATTTAGTTTCTTTTTCTATGTAGATTCAGTTTCTTTTTTTCAAACAGATTTAGTTTCTTTTCCATACGGATTTAGTTTCTTTTTCAATACAGATTTAAAATGAGTTTCATGTCCTTCTTTCTTATAAATAATTTACGAGGTTTATAGTGTTAATTTCTGTTCACTACTAGAAATTGCTTTTTCTTTCTTTTACAGAATATACCAGGTTTAGAACATTAAATTAATGTCTATAAACTTCCTTAAAAATATTTTTTGCTCTCATAGGATTTAACGTGTTTTTTGTGTTAATGTCTACATTTTTACAAACTCCATTTTTTCATTGTTAGGATATGATAAATTTCTTAGTAACTAAACACGGTTTTGTTTTTCTTCATAAAAGTTACTTCTTTCTTTAAGACTTATGAAGTCAAGTCTACAATCATCTTCCACAGAGGCCTTTCATCTATGAAATTTATATATAGCTGAATAAGGAAGTACTTAATTCCCATTTGGTCAGTTTAAAATTTCTTTTTACATTATGAATTCATCAAGCATCTGCAGAATATTTTAACTTACTTTTCTATGTGAGAAACCTGGTTTTACAACAACAACAACAACAACAAAAAAAAAGAGTTAATTTCTATTTACTTTTTTACAAAAGTTCCTTTCTTCTGTGGATCTTTGAAACAGCATGTCTTTTAGTAAAGAAGATAACAATGGACCTCCTCTACCTCCACCAATAAGTACAGTGACATCACAAAATAACAGACTCCGGTGACCTTTACCATAGGGCCCATCCAAGTACAGCTTCAATGTTAAAAATAGAA